GGGGTGGGGGGGTGGGGGGAGGGCAGGCAGCTCTACTTGCCTCTCGAGGATGAGTGGGCAGTGGGCAGAGAGGCAGAAACCCTGTCATTGTCTCAAGACGGAAGAACTCATCCCAGTGTCCTACACTCTATCAACCCCTCCCCACCCAGCAAGAGGGGTCCCAACAGCCCGGTATGGTGTTCAGGAAGGTTAACTGGACCCCATTAGCTCTCCTCTCATTTCTCAGAGGGGTGCAGCCTCCATGGGCCTGCTGTGCCCCCTCTGCTCAGTAGCCTGGCCACACGGTGCCCACTGTTGGGGCCAAATAAGGAGAGTATGGGATACACAGATCCTAAGAAGCATTTCCTGCTCGGAGTCTGACAGGGGGGGGGGGGGGGGGTTGGGTGGTGAGGCTCCACCCATCCGGGCATTTCCAGCAGCCCCTGTGCCATAGGCATTTATTGGGTTTGGGTGGCTGTTGAGAATGGACATCATGAAATGACAAGTTCAACAATGCCCACCTGAGCAATGCCGTGGTGCAGGTGCCGTCCTTGGAATCGGACGGTCATTTCCAACCTCCTCTTCCGAGGGACCCTCTCCCCGCTTCTACAAGAGCACAATGCTCCAGGCAGCTTTGTTCTCTGCCTTCCCTGCTCCCACCCCCTGGTTTCTCGTTAAATTAAACTATGGTTTGGCTTTACGAGGACATCAGGGGGTGTTTTGCAGTGAAGATTTAAAGGTGAAGTCAGGGCAATGGTCTTGGCATTCATTCAGTCGGGGTGGCTCCCAGGGGCATGTGAGATTCTGTTCTACATTCTCCCTGTGGTAGTCATGGGGATAGTTTTCTGTTGTCAATTTGAGACTTATGAGTGGAGGGGTGGAGTTTGACCTGTCAATCAGGTTGCAGCTTGATGATCTCACTTAGAGGTGCTAAGGAGATCAATAGGTCACTGGAGGTGGGGCACATGCACACTCCCTGGGAGACCTTGCAGCTGACAAGACACATGGAGCCACCTAGAGACCCCTGCCAGCGCTGAGATGCTTATAACACCACTGGATTCACAAGACTTCCCACCCACTGGCCTGTGATCTTCCTGCATTCAGCATCATTGCATGTGTTTCATGAGTCTGAAGAGGACTTTATAGACTGGTATCAGACCTATAGGCTAATATCAGACTTATGGACTTGATCTGAACTGCGTTGGGATGTTTTCTCAATACTCAGTTGCTCTTACATATAATGCTCTTTCTTATACACATGTGAGTGTCTATGAATTTGTTTCTCTAGTCTACCTGGACTAACACACACCCCTTTCGATTAGGAGTCCTCCATAGAATGCTTGATCCAAATGCTCAATACTGGTCAGGGGGGCACCATCCAGTTCTGGTCTGTGGCAAAGGAGGCAGTTGTTCATGGAGACAATTAGCCATCCATTCCACTTCCTCCTCCTGTGCCAGAGAGGCTGGCCCTCCAGGCAAACAGAGACCCGCTGTGGCTTGAATGGCTACATGCAAGCCTTCAGAACCCTAGATCCGTCATCATGCACGAGGAGGTAGCCCAGAACCACAGAACTTAGGATTAGCCTCATTAACTGGGATGTCCCACAAAACCATGACCCTAACCTTCAGAACCAAGCTAAACTGACATTACTTCCCAGACTGGGGTCACACAATGCCTTCAAACTAGCATCTCGTGGTTTGGGAGACCAGGAGTTTGAGTTCAGGGGGTCAGCAGGGCCAGAATCTCTCTGAACACCCAAGGGTCAGGTCCTTCCTGGTTAAAAAAAAAATAACCCTGGGGTGTTTGGTTGTCCACACACAGCCTGGGCAGGCCTGCAGATGCCACGAACCAGCACGGAGGTGTTCCTGAGGAAATGAAATGACCGAGTCGGGAACTGAAGAATCAGGAGGGTTCTCCCACGAGCAGGGTTCACGCAACAGCTACGCAGGACAAGGAGTGACAAGGCCAGTTGCCTGAGCTGGGATCCCAGACCTCCCCCTTGCTAGCAGAAAGGCTTTGGGGGCCGTGACTTAACGTCTCCCTGCTTCGGTTTTCCCATCTGTAAAATGGGTGCATGACTGAGTCTCTGGACTTCAATTTCCCCATACTGCCTGCCTCACAGGGTCATGGCGGGGCGGAGGGGGTGGGATTGGGGGCCATGGAGGAAGTGTGAAGTGGATTCTCAGGGTTAACTCTCTGTTCCCTGGACTTTCCGCTGGTCTCAGCCGGCGGTCTGACCGGTAGCAATGCTGCCTCCAGACCACGCTGGCAGTGACTGCAGAAAATCCAGTGTCTGGGCAGCTCCACCGGTAACCGGCTAGCATGCTCGCTCGCTCCCTCATTGAAAGACGGTGGTTCGAGTCTGTCCACAGGCCCCGGAAGGAGCTGGCAGTCGGCTTCAAAGAATCAGTTGCTGAAAGCCCCGCAGAGCATCGTTCTATCGGGGAACCTCAGAAGGGTCCCCAAGGTGACTGGTTTGGGGTGTCCTCTCTCGCTTTAGCTCTTGGAGAGATGCTGTCCCAATCAGGTGCAGGGAGTGATGCTGGCATTTAGTAAGTGGAGCCCAGGGTGCCACCAGGTACCACGTGATGCCGGAGACAGCCGCCCCCACACTGAAGGATTAAGCCAGCAAAAATGAAGAAGCCAGCTGCCGTCAAGACAACTCGGGTCTGCTGCCAGAGGTTTGCCAGGAGCCTTCCCTCTGGGACCACCTGGCCCCAGGTGTCCCTGGTACTGAGGCTGAGACAGCCACTCTAAGTCACCATGGGAGGCCCATTCCCAGCCCCACATGCTGGTCCGGGGTGGCCCCCAGGAGGGGTCACCCACAAGGGGCCGCCTGAACAACGACCTTGGTCCGACGGGAGAGAACCAGCATCTACCATAAGGAGTTACCACCTTCTAACCAGGACAGACACAAACTGTTCCCATCCACCCACCCCCCTAGTCCCCGAACCTGGCCAGCCCTCGCTTGGGGTCGGCCAGGGTGGACTCTGTATCTGACGTCATCTCTGCTGCTGCCTCTGGCTGGCCTGGCCTTGGGATGGAAACCACACGAAATAAATTAATTAATTAAAAAGGCGGGGGAGGGGGGGTGTGTGCATCTGCCGGGACTTCCCTTTGGACCATGGTTTGGAAATCAATGGAATGTTCCAGAATGACTTTCCAGATGGATCAGATCCCAAATTATACTTGAAGGGAAATGTATCTGGTTGTCAGCTCATTAGTGCTGGGCTGTGTCGTGACCTCAGGTCGATGGATGGGGCTGGCGATAGCGGGTGGAGGGGTGGGGGTGGGGGCGGATATCTTAGCCACTTGGCCATCTGCCCCCTCCCCGAGGCCCCAGGCCCCAGGCCTTGGAGGAGCCCCAACCTACCCAGAAACAAGGCCAGAGGCCTGCAAGGGAGCTCGCTTTTCTCCTACAGACTTTCCTAAGCCTGACCTTCAGCCGCACGCAGGGACTGTCAAGTGCTGCGCAGCATGACATCTGCTCACAAAGGGCACTGCCCATCAGCCTCCCCAGGGCCAATTTAGCACTGTGGACACGCCACCATCTGGTGACAAGGAGCCAAAAGAACAGAGAGTACCTAGCTGGGTGTCCTCGGGGTGAAGGCCCACCAAGATCAGAGACAGCGGTGAGTTGATGGCATTCCGGCCTTCTTCCTGCAGGTCGCTCACTGCCGAGCAGAAAGGAGGAAGGAAACAGGTTAGCACCGACCGGAGTCCGTGGAGACAGGGTGACATCAACGGCTGGTTCTTTGATTTTTGATCCCCCCCTCCCTCCACGGCGTTTAGCAGACATTTCCAAAGGGCAGACTGCCCAGAAAGAGGCCAAAGAAAGACCCGCTCTGAGCTTAGACCACAACCTTCAGTCCTCACGCTCCAAATGTCCAAATGTTTGCCAAGCCCCGCCAAGCCCTGCCCGTCGGTGTGCGCGGCTTGGTGGAACACGGGAGGGGGAGCCCAGAGCGTCCCCATGTCCCCGGACCTGTCCTGCACCAGAGTCAGATAGAAGGCATGGGGAGAACAGGGGAAGCAGCCATCAAGAAGGGGACGCATTGCATGCGGTGAACTTGTGGCACAAGACGTCTTTATGGGGTTGAGAAGCAAGGATGGCACTTTGAGGACCCAGTCACCTCAAATGCCGGCCAAAAAATGGGACAATTGGAGGGTGGGGGCAGGGCGAGATAGGACAAGAATTGACACATTCGAAGTGGGGTGTTGGTGAAGAATATGGAATATTGTGTGGGCTTGCCAGGAGAACAAACAGACGGATCTTCCGGGGAATGCACCCACAAAGCTGCAGAGACGTAAGGACGGCGGGGCTTGCTCTCGCCCAGCATTGGACACGTCATCCGGAAAGCCAACCACTCGTCATACATTTCCATCATGGCAACCACCGGGAACACCTGCTCCGCATCAGGATAAAGGCAGGAGAGATCCAGGATGGCATCGTGCTTGGATCCACCATCGATGCCCATGGACATGGCAGTCAAGAGATCAAAGGATCCATCACATCGGGTCAAGACCTGCTGCAGAAGACCTCGCCCAAGGGTGGACAAGCAAGTGGGTGATTTTGAGGACGGAGGTGCACTTCACCCGATCCATGGCACTCTCCACACCATCCTGTGCTGGTGAGACCCGGTCAGGGAACAGGAAGATGGGTGGAGAATTGGTGCATTCAGAGGACAGTGGCTGGTGAAAAATATGACGGCCCCACGGACGACCAGAAGAACAACTGGATCTGTCTTGGAAGAAGTGCGGCCAGGATGTCCCTTAGAAGCAAGGGTGGTGAGACTTGGTCTTACATCCTTTGGAGGTGGTCTCAGCAGGAACGGGGCCAACCCCTGGACGAGGGCATCATGCTTGGTAAAAGAGAGGGTCAGCCCAAATAGGAAGACCCTTGCCAAAATGGATTGGCACCGTAGCTGTGGCCAGGGACTCAACTAGAATGACCGTGAGGATAGTGCGGGACCGGACAGTGATTCTCTTTGTCGGTCGCTATGAGGGGGAACCGGCTGGAGTAATAACAACGACAGCAGGGAACTGGAGGGGAGTAGAGACACAGGACAGTCTCCACAAGACAGACGGACACAGCAGCCTTCCTAATGGAAGCAGAGACATCAGCCACCAGGGAGACGGTCCAGGACAAGCAGTGCTCTGTTCTGTGGGACATAAACCCATCAGGAGCTGAAGCCAGCGCGACAGCGTCTCACCAGGACCACCATCCACCACCTCCTCTTTCTCCCCTCCCCTTCCTTCCCTCCTCTGGACAGCTGCGCCCGCACAGTGAGCATGCGATGCACTCCTGACAAGTGTGCAAATGAGCCCAGACCTTCAAGTTGGCCCCGTGGTGGAGGATGATGCTCAGAAGGACAGAAATCTCGCAGAAGGTAATGCCCAGGGCTGGTACCATCAAGCATGCGGGAGAGACTACAAAAGCCAACCTGGACGCTTAGACAGGGAAGCGCACCAATTGTACATATGTTGGGGCAGAGAGAGCACTGAAGAGGGCCACAGTCCAGCCAGCTCCATGCTTAGAGACGCTGCGTGGACTCCGTGGTAGCAGAAAAGATCCTGTTGGAGTGCACCAAGGAGCCCTTTCAAGAACACATCCCAAGGACCAGAAGCCACGCTAAGCGGGGAGCAATACCAGCCCATGAAAACGCCAGTCTATCACCTTCCCCCTTTCAATGATGTATGTCTTCAGCTGGACAGTAGTCATTGTTTTCATTGCCCGGGTCCATCGGAGTCCAGGCTTGAGTCCCATAGGCCTAATCCATTGGTTGGAGGGTGGTGGTGGGACCCCTGTTTCTTGTTACAGGTGGGGTTGAGAACCTCCGTGTCATGGTCCCTGATTACAAGCTGGAAAACCAGCCCCCTAGTATTAGGGGCTGAACCCATCTGCCAATGCATCTTTGCTCTGGATTGGATTGTGCTCCGCCCCCAACCCCACCCCCAACCACCACCACGTAGTGCTCCCACCACCACCACCACCATCACAATCCTGGCATTGAGACCTGGATTGGAAATGAGTTTTCTTTCATGACATGGATGAGGCCACACTGGTATAAAAGGTGGGTCCAGAACAGACACAGACACAGAGGGGCTGGCATGGGCCGGTGTGGGAAGAGACACCGAGGTCAAAATCCAGCTTCCATGTGGCCCTACCAGCCCCCAGAGCTGTCCCCTTGTGGTATGCTTCTGTGGGGCTAAGACCCTAACCCTCATCCTCAGTGAAACAGTGTGGGAAGTGAAGGCCAACTTCCTCTTTCAAGACCACAGCCTTGAACCAGAACCAACCTCCCTACCAACGAGTCCATTCTGACTCATAACAGCCCTACCAAACAGTAGAACCGCCCTTGCAGGTTTCCGAGACCGTAGCTCTTTACAGGAGTAGAAAGCCCGGTCTTTCTACCTTGGAGCGGCTGGTGGCTGGGGACAGCAGACCTGGCAGTGAGCAGCCCAGCACATAAGCCCTACACCACCAGCGCTCCCCTCCCCTCCGGTCTGCTACTGCCTCGTATCCAGTGCCTGAGTGACAGGTGACAACACACAGGGAGGGGCCTTGGTAGTACAGAGGCAGGAGGAGCAGCGGGCAGCCAAGCCCGGCTGGGGGTGGTCGCTGAGAAAGTCCCACTAACCCCTCAGAGCCAGTTCCCTGAGTCCATTTGGGACCAAGGAGGACAAGCGATGAGAACTATGAATGCCCAGGACTAAGCCTGGCATGGGGGCGGGGCCCCCAGGGAATGCCAGCTTTCAGGACAGCCCATCTTCTACTTGGGTTGGGGAAACCAGCGGGAAAGCCAGCCCTGCTACCAACCGCACCCACGGCTGGCTCCCTCCCACCTGACTGATACGCACTGTCCTCCAGCCAGTACTGAGTCCCTCGAGCGGACAGGACAGGGCAGAACCGCCCGTGAGCTGTCTGAGACTGCAGCTGCTTAAGGGAGTAGAAAGCCCGTTTTTCTCCCTCGGAACCTCAGATGGTTTTGATCTGCTGACCTTGTGGTCGCAGCCCAGTGCATCACCTCTTTGCCAACAGGGCTCCCACCTGGACCCTGAGTGGCGGAGCAGTGACGCGTTTGGCTGCTAACTGCAAGGCCAGCGGTTTGAAGCCACCAGCGCTGCTCAGGAGAAAGTCGGGGTTTTCTATCCCATAAATAGTTAAAGCCTCGGACACCCACAGGGCCAGTGCTACCCTGTCCTGCCGGGTCGCTCTGAGTGGGTGTGGAATCGATGGCAATGAGTTTCGTCGGGTTTGGTGTGGAGGCCTGACCCCAGACCCACAGTACATATCGCATCGCCATGCAGACCTTTGGGAACCCTTTGGTGCATCTCTCTAAAGCCTTCCAAAGTCCCCCAGGGGCCACCAGGGCCCTCCAAAACCAGAGGGCCAGGGTGCCCGAGGATCCAGCACAAAATGAGTGCACTAAGCATACTGCACCCACCGGGAACCTTGGATGGCAGGACAGGGAAGGAGGACGAGGTGGTTTTTACCCGAATCCTCAAGTGTACAACAAAGAATGCTAGAGCCAATGGCCACAAGGTCACTTCCGACCAGGCCTGGCCTGTGAGTGTCAGCCTCGAGCCTGCTCCAGCAGGTCCCAGTGCCGCTGGTTCAAAGCAGGTCACCAGGCCTGTCTTCAGAGGAGCTCTTGGGTGGGCCGGCTCCCTGGTCCCTCACCATCTGGTGAACACTGGCCTTTGGGGAACAAGTTATCAGGGCAGGTGGCTGACAGCCCCAGAGTAGACAGGGAGGCCAGTGTGCTGCCCGCTGGTCAGGGCCACCTTCTGGCAAGGAATAAGCAAGACCACACTCATTCACAGACACGAAGGGCAGAGCAGGTGGGCCCCTCCAGTGAGGTGGACCTACTATGTGCTTACCTGGCAGAATGTGTGCTGGGAAAGCAGGAGGAGGTGGGGGCGGGGTGCAGGCAGGTGGCTGGGGAGGGGGAGGAGGAGCAGCAGCCTCCAAGCAGGGAAACTGGGTTACAGGAAAACACATCCATTGGATTTGTGGCTGAACATCAAAGGC